GAGAAGTTGCCGCCCACCAGCAATCGCTGTGAGCGGCTCTTCTTGCAGGCGAAACTGGTGCTTTCTCCAGAGCGAGCGTCTCTCCTGCCGGTCAACTTCGAGATGCTGATGTTTCTGCGAGCCAATCGGTCCTACTGGGACGTGACGACCGTGCAAGAAGTGTTCCAGCAAATGTAGGTAGATGTACGCTCTACGTGGTGCGCTGGACATCAATACAGTGGGTATTTCTCAAAAAATAGCTATTGTCTCTGCCTTATTACGGACTCTGTTTGAAAGCCGTACTATAGCTTACGGTATTTCCCGAGCCCTTTCAGTGACGACCTTCCCGTCGGCCAGTCGCACTGACACCGTCCCGCTGCCCTTGTTATCTCTCAAAGCATCGGACACACTTACACCGTCTCGTTGTATTGGTTTTCTCTCAAAGCATCGGACAGCTTGTTGCTATTGTAAGCAACCGTCTGGCGGCGTGCGAAATTCTTCGACGCCCCAGAATCGATCAAGATTCTAAAGGGGTAATCGTATCCCCGTACACATATGTGTACTACGAGCAGCCCGCCGCTGCTCTTCGCCGATTCGAGAGTGCGAAGACTCTCAGGGGCTAAGTCCCCGTGGTATGCGCCACCCGCGCACCCATCACGAAGACTTAGTTCTTCCCCAGTAGGGCGCCCCGCCCCTACTGGTTCCCGGCGTTTCCCTGTCCCCGGAATCCTGGCTTCTGCCAGCGACCCTGAGGACGGGCTAGGGGAAAGTCCGCCTGCGGTGTCTCTCCACGGGGTAGTCGCACTTGAAGTGGCCCAGCTTCCCGCAGCCGAAGCAGCGAATGTCGCGCTCCTCGGCGGACCCGAGCTCCATGGGAACTGGTCCGTTGGGGCTTGTTCGACCGGGAGCCGACAAGGAGCTCCCAGGCCACGCTGAGGCCGGCGTACGCGCCTGGCGATGGCTGTATTCTTCTTGAAGAGCCACTTGAATCGCCCGTTCGAGGTGCATTAACTGCACCCGGAACTGAGTGCGCGCCGGTCCCACTCGAAGGCCGTCCATGAACACATTCACATGGTGTGTTCGTTTAATGGGTTGCCCACGATGGACGCTGTGAGCTCCTGCATCTCTTGGATGTACTCGTACAGCTCACGCCTTCTTTGCTTACATGCGAGGAAGCGCGAATGCTGGCGGTACCCGTAGCTCATCGGAAGGAACGCGGCTCGAAGCTGCTCGCAAAGCTGGGCCCAGGATGCGAAACATCCAGGCGATTTTCATCTTCCGCGTGTACACTCAACTCTTAGCACGACCGCGAAGGTTGGAGAGCGCAAAAGCAACGCGGAGTTGCCCGGTGGAGATCAGAGCTACGTCCATCGCGAGCTCTACCTCTCGAACCCAAAAGTGAAGGTTCTCACCCCCCTTACCTTCATACGACTTCACCTTCAGTTCGTATGCGACGGACTTGTTTCCGCCGCCGGAGCCTGCAGGTTTTCTCGCACATGTGCGATGAGCCCCTGCTCGTAAGCGTCAAGCGCATTGACACGCTCGAGCTGATCGGCCGGCGTTGACGTCACCAGGCTCCGCAGGTCCTCCATCCCGAAGATGCCAGCCATCTTCCGAACTGACTCAAACTGTGAGTCGTTCAGATGGGAGAAGTCGTTCCTAGCCATGACGACGAACATCAGAGACGTTCAGGCGCGTTTTCGTGGATTGACTACAAGTGCTACTTAGTGTGACGGGGTCACACAGCACCTTGCGCTAGAGGAAGTTGGCTTCCGAGAGTATACAAACTCTTAGTGAACGACAGATCACAGGTTCCTTTTGCCTAAGGGAGCGAAGTGACCAATTTAAGGTAAGCTGTAAGCTGAATATACTGTAGAACATTTGTGCTTCCGGACAGACCAAATTGCATACAAAATGAAAAACCTTATAGGTAGGCAAGATTACGTTTATGTATGTATGCAGCTTGCACATCTATCAATTGATGCTGGATGGGTTACCATCTGATGCATCAAGACAGTGCTCCACAACATCGTCGTCGTCGCAAACTGTTACAGCGTCGTCAATCAACTGCAAACTCTCCATCTGCTCAATAACATCGTTTTCGGCAAATTCAGTCATAGCTCGTTTTGTATGCGGGTTAAACCCACTCTTGATAACAACTTCGCCTAACTGCTTCCATGCAGTCGTTGCCCAAGTCACTGCTTCTCGTCTTGAAGGAGGCTGAAGCTCGAATTTCCCATGGGAGCCGTCAGCGGAGTAATCATTCAATTGCTGTGATAAAAGTTCACCCATTGCCTTCGTAAGCGCTGCTTAAGAGGACGGAACCACGAAATGTCTGCTGGTTGGCATACTGAAGTAAGTCCAGGGGGAACCTTAAGTAGATGAACGTTGAGCAACGTTGCATGCTTTTTGACTTCATCGGTCCAATGTGCCGAGAAGTCATCCCAAAGCAAAAGAATTGGTTCTGCTTCGTCTCTGCTGGCAAAATGGTAGTCCAGAAATGCGACAGAAAGGTCGGCGTTCCACCAAGCAGAGCTGTTGCCATAGATTTGCACACCAAGCTGTGTTTGAGCGTCCTTCATTGCTGGCCAAAGCTTATCGTCAAAGCCGTGCTGGGCGATGTAGTTATATGCAGCTTTCTCTGGGATTTTTGAAGGCTCGGTTTTCACTACGTAGAATGTATCGTACTGCTTCCCCGTAGAATAAGCCAGGAACATACCGGTGAAGCGTTCCTTGTCCTTTCCTCCACACCTTACCTAGACTGTCTTTGCACCCTTCTTACTGATTGTTTGTTTCGGTAAATATTCGAATAATATCCCACTTTGGTCAGCATTGTAGACTTTATTGACACCAAGTTCACGCTTCGTGTCTTCCACTTCCTGCCAGAACGCCTGAGCGGCTTCTTCCATTGCGGCAGGAGATTTCTGCCCTTGGCGAGTTTTAGCTCGCAGTGAAAGTCCGTGACGCGAGAGGAATCCTTGCTGCCAGCTCCATCGTCCCTCGAAAATACCATCTGGCACGCCGATGTCTTTAGCGATCTGCAAAGCTTGTAGCTGCAGCATAAGTCTCGAGACAGGAACACCTTCACCCCGCATTGAGTTGACCCACTCCACTAAACCTTCTTCCGCGGTAGGAGACAAAGTTGTTGCTGTTCCTTTTTTTCTAGCCGACTTTAGATTCGCAGTGGCTGAGCACGCAACCATGGCTTCAATATGTGCCCTCGATTTTCTCCCATTCATATATGCGCTTACGCTTGGACTCCCTTTTGGACGAAATAAGATGGCTGTAGAATTTGTCGAGAGTTTCTTGCATATTGTTGTCTTTTAAAAAGTCTATGACGGCTAGCTTCTTAGTGTAGCTTTCACATTCACGAGAGTATTGATTCGCCCGACGACCACGACCACATGGGGTTCTCTTCCTGCCGCGCGCCATGTTGAGGACCAGCGTTGAATCGGTTTTGCGCGCCCTCTCGATTTTTCTGCAACCCTTTATGAATAAAAATAGGCCTGTCCGTTTAAACAAATGGTCAATGGTGAGGTTTTTCTAATTTCTGTATCACTACGATTGGCCGATAATAGTGTCCTGATGTACAAAACGTCTGGATGCACAAATGTTCTACAGTATTTGTAGTAGGCTAAGCTTAAGTAAAATTTACAAACTATAAGTCACCTATAGAAAAGCAATGTTATCAGCCAATGGTTGGCCTCGAGCGACCCTGGTACCATGTACCATATATCTCGAAGTGTGACGTGTCATACTTCATTTAACTAGGGGTACACTTGGGGCTACGTACCCCGTTACAAAATGACTACTATCCTACATACCAGTTGAGCTACGCTGCTCACGTATCGATAGCACGTAGGTATCATATAATTGAAATAAAATAGCGTTGCTAAAAATTTAGTCCGCGTCAATCATGGACGCCTCTACCTAAAGTGGCACCGGTAATATTAAAACCTGAGCCGTACCAAACAATGGAGCCTCCATGATTGCCCATGTGGATTTTCTCGATTACCGCTTCGTGTGCAGGGGTTAATGGTAACTCCAAAATCGGTGAAGTTAATATTGTGAAAATATCACCTGTAGACCAGTTAATATAAAAAATATCACCTAATATTTTCTTTTGAGACAATATGATATTATTAAATATCAACTTAATATTAGTTAATACGATATTATATTTTTCAATGATTGCGTAATCGGGCTACATTAACTAATCAGATGTCGTTAACGCTCGACTAGCTGAAGTATTACTAATCAACCGTGAGTACCGGGACAATTGTGAGTGACGGCAAGGTTGGCGTTGTGTGTTGGCACTGCTGAGCGCATTAATCTAGCGCCACAGGCAGCAGGTTTATTAGACGCACGATGTCGACGAGGAGATCGGAAGAGAACAAGAACAAATGTCTTGATTTCGCTCTATCAACGTTAAACAGCTGCAAGCGTTTGCAGTTTTCCATCTCGATCGCCTTTGTCTGTGTCACAGTGAAATACTAGAGCAAATACTCGTCAGTCTTAAAGCCTACTGCTTTTCTAGAACCTGATCGAAAAAGTTATTTGGCTCCGCTCGGTTCACAGAGGTAAGCTGGCAAGAAACGTACTTAAGTGGGAAAATATCATAAAATATCATGTAGTATCTAATATTTTTCAGTTCTCCGAGCTAATATAAAAATATTATGTTAGCTTTTGCAAAAATGAGTTACTATTAATATTTAATATCGAAAATAGTACTATTACTATCAAAAATATCATATGATATTTGGTTACCATTAGCCCCTGTTCGTGTGTCAGATTTGATGACCCTCCATAAAAAGGCCTGGCTTTGACAGAAAACATCATCGATAATCGTTTCGTGCGCAGTGATTGCCACTGCTCCGAATCAATATCGTTTTGCCATTCCTCAATCCGACGTCTTGAGCACACTCCGTTCATCACACAACAAGTATTAATATCTATTAAACACCCAGGTGTAAGTCATATCGACCTCCCCAACCGTTTGCGCTTTCAAATCGCACCACGACATGCTGCCGGCCAAGGTCAAGCTCGACACCAACATGACCAAACTGGCAGAGCGACGCACGGCTTGGACGTTTATCCGGGCGCTACTGTGGAAGAACTGGCTAATTAAAAGACGCCACCCCATGGCCACCGCGTGTGAGATCCTGGTACCCGTACTATTCATCATCCTTCTGGGCGTACTCAAGAGCACGACAACGACTGTGGATGTGCCATCTGGATGGAGTGATACAACCGCGTCCGCCGGCGACGCAGCTATCGGGACGAGCTACAACCTGTTCCAACCGTCCGGACAAACCGTCGAGTGGGTGAGCGCTGATATGCCCAAGTTCGCATTGCACGAGTCATCCATGACCGGACTAATCCTCAAGCTCGGCGTGCAGTCGGTGGACGACGCAATCCGTCTCGACGAACTATCGACAGCAAACCAGGCGACGTGTTCGAGTGGTGTCATAACCGGCGGACTCGTTGAGACCAACACCTCGTCGCCCTACCGTGTACCGACCGAATGTGCTGACAAGGTGTCGCCGTACAAGATCGGCATTGCCCCGGATAATGCCTTCACTCGCAACTATTTCGCATCGGTCATGGACCTGTGGTATCCGCGCTTGGACTTGATAAACTCGACGTTGACCGTTCCATCGTTCCTAGAGAGCGTCATGTTCTTTGACACAAACGACGCGTTGACGGACTACGTGAAGAGCGACGACTACGGAAAGGGCATTAGGAACCCGCGTATCTACGCCGGTATCGTGTTTGACTCAGTCCCGCTTGGCGACGACATCGGGTCGTTCGCGTCTATCGAGTACTCGCTGCGATTAAACTCAACGCTTGGTGACTCTGTTGGTCGTGTGCCGGGAACGAGCGGTTCCGTGAGAGACACGGACCCGTTCCAGACGAAAATTAACACGGATTACTACTCACGCTACACCGTGACGGGCTTTATGACGCTGCAGACACTCGTCACTCGTTTTGTGTCATGTATGCCGGAGTGGAGCTCGGCCAACCAGTCTACTACAGGCGAGTGTCAGCGACCGCAGTCGATGGCACTCGCCTCGACCAGTCTGGACGATACGCTCCTAGAATCGCTGAATGACGACGCGTTGATCCAGGAAGTTTTGAACACTGGCCTTGTCGCTGGCGAGTCGTCCTTCTCAAACATGTTGGCCGGCTTGCCTGACACCACGAGACAGCAACTTCTGGCTCCATTACGACAAGCCCCGCAGTCCTACATGGGCTCCACAGTGACCCCGTTCCCTGTCGACAGCTTCGCGAGCTCGTCGTTCTATGACACCGTGTCCAATGTGTTCTCGGTGATCTTCGTGCTGGCATATCTGTTTACAATCTCGCGGATCCTGGTCGTGTTTATACAGGAGAAGGAGCTCCGACTGCGTGAGTTTATGAAGATTCTCGGTGTGACGGAGAAGACGATCACGATCACCTGGTACATTACGTACACCGTCGTGCTCTTCGCTGGTGCCGTCGTCCAAGCTCTTGCGGGTCTTGCTGGACTGTTCGTGAACAGTTCCGTGATCCTGACGTTCCTGTTTTTCTTCCTCTTTGGAATGACTGTCCTATCGCTTGCGTATCTCGTCAGTACACTCTTCAACAAGGCGCGTGTCGGCTCCTTCGTGGGCATGTTAATTTTCTTCTTCATGCATGTGATTTCGCAAGGTTTCTCGGATGGAACATCCGAATCGACCAAGACGATCGGCTGTATCTTCTCGCCCGTAGGTCTCGCTCTGGGTGTGACGGTACTTGCTGACGCCGAGACGACAGGTGCAGGTGTCACGTTCTCTAACGTGAGTGAACCGAGTAACAACTTTCGTTTCAGTACGGTACTCTTCATGTTTGCTTTCGACACGGTCCTGTACACTCTGATCGGACTGTACTTCGACAAGGTGATGCCGAAGGAGTACGGTACATCGCTCAAGTGGTATTTCCCCGTGTCACCGTCGTACTGGAGAGGCCGTCGCCAACGCGCTGCTATGACCCGCACCCAGGGGCCTCTTCTCGAGAATGTGTCACTGAATATGAATCCGAACATTGAGCCAGTGAACGCTGAGCTCCGGGAGCAAGAGAACAATGGAGAAGCTCTAACAGTACAGAGATTGAAGAAGGTTTTCCAAGTTCCGGGAGGTGAGAAGATTGCTGTGAAAGGACTTGATATCACTATGTACAAGGATCAGATCACCTGTCTACTGGGCCACAACGGTGCTGGTAAGACCACGTTGATCTCCATGCTCACGGGAATGGCTGCCCCTTCCAGTGGAAACGCAACGTACCGTGGTTTGTCGATCAACGAGGACATGGACGAACTACGGAAGTCGCTCGGTATCTGTTTCCAGCATGACGTTCTGTTCCCAGAGCTTACGGTCCAGGAGCATCTCCAGTTCTTCGGACAGATTAAGGGTTACGTGAATGAAGAGCTACATGCTGTGGTGGACAGGCAGATCCGTGAAGTTGGGTTGACCGAGAAGCGCAATTCGAGACCCAACGATCTGTCGGGTGGCATGAAGCGTAAGTTGTCAGTAGCTGTGTCGCTGCTGGGTGACAGTTCGTTGGTGTTCCTCGATGAACCAACGTCAGGTATGGACCCGTACAGTCGTCGCAGTACGTGGGAGATCCTGCTGAACAACCGCAATGACCGTGTGATGGTGCTGACGACGCACTTTATGGACGAGGCCGACATTCTAGGCGACCGCATCGCTATCATGGCTGAAGGTGAACTGCGCTGCTGCGGGTCGTCGCTGTTCCTGAAAAACCGTTTTGGTGCCGGCTACAATCTGACTCTTGTGAAGGATGATGCCAAGTGTGATGACAAGGCTGTGTCTGCCTTCGTCACCTCGTTCGTCCCATCCGCGCAACTACTCAGCAACGTCGGCAGCGAGATCGCGTTCCAGCTGCCGTTGCACAGCTCGTCCAAGTTCGCCACCATGTTCGCCGAGATGGATCGTCAGTTGAAGACACTCGGTCTTCTGTCTTACGGTGTATCGGTAACTACGCTGGAAGAAGTGTTCATCAAGGTGGCCGAGTTGGGTGATGAGAACAACCAACACACACTTGGCAATCCTGTAGGAACCAACCACTCCGAGTCCAGCGAGTATGAGCCATGCGACGAGATCATCACATCCACTCCCGTATTTAGCACTCATCTGCGCGCGTTGCTGCTCAAACGCTTCCGGTACGCCCGACGTGACAAGAAGACGATCATTTACAGCGCTTTGCTGCCAGTTCTGCTGATCGGTGCTGGGTTGGGGATTCTCAAAGGAAGCGCCCTTGCTTCCGACAACCCATCTATGGCATTGTCGACGGACGAATACTCCGGGAGCGAGACCCCGACGCCGTACTTCTGCCAGGCTGGTTCCGGTACGGGAGATTGGTGTAGTGAGGTGATGGGGTCGACCTTCTTCTCGGGAGCTGCCGCCCAAACACTCGCAGTCTCGCAACCAGCATTCGACTCGAGCTCCCCCACTGTGTTCGACGTGAGCTACACGAATCCGACGATCAACGCGAGCGGATACACCGGCTACAGTGTGGCAATGGGCCAGGAGCTTTATAACCGTGGGTACGGCCACGATGCCGATCTTGTTGAGGGGCAGTACGGAGCCTATCTTGTGTACGGCGATGGCGACCAAAACCTGCTCGGCTACAATGTGTTCACGAACACTAGTGCTCCCCATTCGTCTGCGATCTTCAAAGCGATGATGGACCAAGCAGTTTATCGCTTCTTCGCCGCCAATACCTCGAGCGATTCGGATTCTTCTGTGGGTCTCAAGGTGAACAACTATCCTCTCCCAGTGACCGCTGCCACGAAGGCATTCTCTGGATCGGGTATCGCGTTTGTGGCTTGCATGTTCATCTGCATCGCGTTCACGTTCCTCCCTGCTTCCATCGTGGTGTTCTTGGTTAAGGAGAAACAAACGGAGCACAACTCGAAGCACCAGCAGCTCGTCTCGGGCGTGTCGTTGCCTGCTTTCTGGATGTCAAACTACATTTGGGATCTGACCATGTACATCGTTCCCTGCGTGTGCGCTCTCGCGTTGATCTACGTCTTCAATGTGTCGTCCATGACCGGCCAAGACTGCAATAGCTGTACATCCGCCACGTTCCCGGCTGTGATTCTCCTTTTCATTCTCTTCGGACTCGCCATTTGCCCGTTCACGTACTGCCTGTCGTTCCTGTTCGAGGAGCACGCAGCTGCACAGACGTACACGATCATGATCAATTTCGCTATCGGCGTGGTGCTGATGATAGTGTCGTTCATCATGAGTGTGATCGGCTCGACGTCTGACGTTGATTCAGTGCTTGTCTTCATCTGGCGCCTCTCTCCTCTGTTCAATCTGGGCACGGGGTTACTGCAGTTGGTTGTGAACGACATCACGTACATTCGCTTCACCAAGGACGAGAAGATCAGCCCATTCAGCGCGGATATCATGGGCTTCGAGTTGGTTTATCTGTTGGTGACGGCGATCGTGTACATGACACTCGCGGTGTATCTCGACTACTCGCGAACTTTCCCCAAGGTGAAGAAAGACAATAGCGACATTGATGACAGCGATATCGCTATCGATGAGGACGTCAAGAAGGAAGCGGATCGTGTGGCTGGCGGTGGGGCTGATGGAGACGCTGTGAAGCTCGTAGGGCTGCGTAAGGTGTACCCGGGAGGCAAAGTGGCTGTTCGTGATCTCTCGTTCGGCTTGAAGCGAGGTGAGTGCTTCGGCTTCTTGGGTATCAACGGCGCCGGTAAGAGTACGACCATGAAGATGCTGACAGGCGACGTCCCTCCGAGCTGCGGCACGGCTACGCTTGGTGGCTTTAATATTCTTACGGAACAGATTGAGGTGCGTCGTCAGATCGGATACTGCCCCCAGTTTGACGCCTTGTTCGACTTGCTCACTGTGCGCGAGCATCTGGAACTCTTTGGGGCTATCAAGGGCGTCCCCCAGTCTTCGCTTGATCGCGTCGTCATGGAGAAGATCCAGCAGTTGAATCTAGGCGACTTTGAGAACAAACTGGCTGGAAGTCTCAGTGGCGGCAACAAGCGCAAACTCTCGGTGGCTATCGCGATGATTGGCAGTCCTGCTATCATCTTCTTGGACGAACCGTCCACTGGTATGGATCCAGTGTCTCGTCGATTCATGTGGGACGTCATCGCCGATATCTCCACTCGTGGCAAGGAGTCGACGATTGTGCTGACAACACACAGCATGGAGGAGTGTGAGGCGTTGTGCTCTCGTGTCGGCATCATGGTTGGCGGTCGTCTTCGCTGCTACGGAAGTGTTCAGCACTTGAAGTCTCGATTTGGAGACGGGTTGATGTTTGATGTCAAACTGGACACGCCTACGGCCGATGAGCTCGAGTACCTGCTTCAGCATGTATTTGGCGACGGTAGCACGTACGTGACGCAAACGGAGCTGGAAAGTAAGTGTCGGGCGTTCGGCAACGTCGACCTCGCGGGGCGGATCACTCCTTCGCACCCTACCGGCTACAGTCTTGCTGCTGCGATGGAGCGTGATGGCTTCATCCGCGCCGAGGCTTTCTGCTCGTGGTGTGGCGAGGAAACACGCTTCGACACATTAAACGATTACCTTGTCAACGCGTTTGGCTGTGATGGCGTGCTGGTGATGGAGCGCCAGAACGACTTCTGCCGATTCAAAATATGTGGGTCGGACAACAAGGTAAAGCTCTCCAAGATGTTCGCGCTCGTCGAGAAAGTGAAGACGGATATGCACATCCGTGAGTATAGCGTCTCACAGACGACGCTGGAACAGATTTTCAACTCGTTTGCCAGCCAGCAAGAAGAGGAGAAGGGCGTCGCTCGTGGCGTCTTCCAGGCGTAGAGCTGTAAGGCTAAACAGCAAAGAATAGCAATACCTAATTCAGTATTAATAACAGGGAGGAGATAATGATGAAATAAACAGCTTACTTACTTGTGCTTATTGCAGTGAACAATTGTCCGACGTAGACGAACGTTCACCTTCAATTATTTCTCCTGGTAGCATCGTCCGGATGGCTTGCACAGCGTGTTGCTGCACCTTCGGATCATCAGGGAAGCGTAGTCGCGCTTTCTCGCACACTGGAAGCGCCCCAGCGTCCAAACACGCACTCTTCATTTCATCTTTCGACAGTAATAAGAGCATTTAATAGAGGACAAGCCACATTGAAGTACCAGAGTTAGTGTATTGGTTACCATTTTTTCCGCTGATGATCGCAATGAACCAAGAGCCGGCCGCTTGGACCAAAGCGGTTGAGCTGAAGCGCTTCATGCTTTCGACCACAGTTTCAAGTCCACCTTTCGAGACGATCTCCACCATACTAGCGTCTTAACCATAACAGCAGACAGACACTGTTAATTCTAAGTACTCTGCAGGGTGCAAGGACCCGCTGTTCGTCGGTACCTTGGCGCAAGCTCAGGTTTGCTAGCGCGAGACAGCTCAGGCCTTGCACTTGCTCGCTCAAAGGGAATCGCTCCATTGCTGAGAGCACGAGGCGTCGACTCTCCGGGCTAACTCGCACCACAGATTCATCTGAAATGACCTCACGCGTTAATCTCCTAAACAAAAGTACTGATACAATACAGGACTTCTCAGTTCTGCTCGGCACACCTGCAATCTTCGGGTGGGCGAGTACAGAAAGACCGGCCATGTTGGCAGAAACGTCGTCAGGAAGTGCGACCAAAGCGCCAATGAGCGAAATAATGCCGCCACTAGAAGCGATGAAAGCGATGTGGTCGTCAGCTTGATTAGCGTACTCTGCTAAGCCCAGAAGACCGTCCCTCTGCAGAGCTAACGAGTTGGGGAACTGCTTCATCTTGTCAATCACCATTTGCACCATGAGTCGCGAGCTCTTCTCAGTCGTCTTCTGATCCTCGACATGCCGATCTCCCAGGTGGTCATCTACATCGGCGTCAAAGGTAGAAATCGATGTCGGATTGGACTCGGCCGATACCTTGTTCTCCTCCGGATCCCCAACGCTCCTTATCAATCCTTTCAAAGCTCGAACACCATGCGACTGGATCCGAGCGTCTGTTGGGAACTTCGTCATGGTCTCCAGTACGGCACTGCCATCGCCCACATCCCGACCTATTGCTCGTCGCATGATGCCTGCTGGGTCTGTAGCCACCGCGTTGGGTTTTATCTTTTCAGTAAAATGCGAGTATCCAGCCGTCTTCGTCTCGTCTTGTACCGATTTCTCCGGTATCTTCCTGTCTTGCTTCTCGTCCTTCTCCTCGTCTTCTTCAACGTCTGCATCCAACGAGGGAAGAGCTTCAATGACAGCTTGGACGACGTTCTGCGTGGCCTCCACCGTCGACACTCGGTTGCTCATGTGGTCGTGGCAGGTGCTCAGCAACTCTCGTGTCACTTTAGTGTACTTAACTAGCGCACACACGAAGGTGAAGGCACGCAGTGGGTCGTCCAGCAACATCGCCGCAAGTTTACGCTCCAAAATCGCTTGTGGCAGGCGATCTAATTGGTGGAGCGACAGCCCAGGGGGCACCAGATCTGCGGGCGGCTGCCGCAGTATACACGACATTGACAACGATAGCGGTAAGAACGACAAGTCTCTGGGATGTTCGTTCTTGATCTTGGCCTGCTGCAGCAGCAGGAGCATGTGCGCCGTCGTATCCAGCATCCGTCCCTTTGGGCTGGTCAATTAATTTTTTTGGATGAGCCCTTTCATGAGACCCTGCACATACCGGTACAGTCGTGCACCCAATTCGGCACCGGTATCAGTCGATACCCTGCCAGATTTGATGATTACGCGAATCGTTACCTTTGCCCATCACCACCAGGGGCTAATGGTAACCAAATATCATATGATATTTTTGATAGTAATAGTACTATTTTCGATATTAAATATTAATAGTAACTCATTTTTGCAAAAGCTAACATAATATTTTTATATTAGCTCGGAGAACTGAAAAATATTAGATACTACATGATATTTTATGATATTTTCCCACTTAAGTACGTTTCTTGCCAGCTTACCTCTGTGAACCGAGCGGAGCCAAATAACTTTTTCGATCAGGTTCTAGAAAAGCAGTAGGCTTTAAGACTGACGAGTATTTGCTCTAGTATTTCACTGTGACACAGACAAAGGCGATCGAGATGGAAAACTGCAAACGCTTGCAGCTGTTTAACGTTGATAGAGCGAAATCAAGACATTTGTTCTTGTTCTCTTCCGATCTCCTCGTCGACATCGTGCGTCTAATAAACCTGCTGCCTGTGGCGCTAGATTAATGCGCTCAGCAGTGCCAACACACAACGCCAACCTTGCCGTCACTCACAATTGTCCCGGTACTCACGGTTGATTAGTAATACTTCAGCTAGTCGAGCGTTAACGACATCTGATTAGTTAATGTAGCCCGATTACGCAATCATTGAAAAATATAATATCGTATTAACTAATATTAAGTTGATATTTAATAATATCATATTGTCTCAAAAGAAAATATTAGGTGATATTTTTTATATTAACTGGTCTACAGGTGATATTTTCACAATATTAACTTCACCGATTTTGGAGTTACCATTAACCCCTGATCACCACCCCCTCAACGGTTTTCCCCTCCTCGCCGAGGGATGACACGCCGCATCGATCTGATTTTAAATTTTGGATCGGACGTCTTCATACAAACACACACTTTGATTCTTACCGCCAAATACAATGGGACATCGCCCTTCCTCCTACATGTCACACAAAAGGATGAATTTCCGTATCTCAGTGATTATCACTGAGATTACAGAAAATAGTAAGCGTTACAATCACTGAGGTCAGTGATAGTATTATACATTTACTTATATTAGTACATACATATCGCAATGGCCAAGAAAGCCATGAGTGAAGTTGGTTAAAAGCTAAAGCAATATACGTGTGCATGTATTGTATTCAACTGCTAACACTTTCATTTTCTTTACCTGCAATGGCCCCAGTTTTGCGCCATGTATCGAAGAAAAAGCCAGGTCGTCCAAAGACGAGGAAGACCAAGACTTGCTGGAGGTGCCATGTTACATTCAGCTCGTGCACCAAGCTAAAGGGCCACCTCGAGCGCAAAAGTGGTTGCGGTCCGAAGGCGGTTGCAGCTCAAGCCGCACGTAGAAAAAAAGCCAGCCGCCTGTCGAGCAAGGTGCAGCACCTAAAAAGACAACTAGACAAGGTCGGATGGTGGGAGGTGCACGAGGTCATACTAGACGATGAGACCAAGGGCAGCGAGGCTATCGCTGGCAGACAGTATGACACCGTATAGTTCAAAAAGCCCATGTCTTTGGCAGCTTCGAGATCTGCAGCATCAAGATGAAATGGAACTTGTCCGTAGCACGGCTTCTTCTTTTCGTTGGAGGCTATTGTCGGGAAGGATGGACGTTATGAAAGTGAAGGAGAGGGTCAGACCATTACAATCCGATCGTTTCTTTTATCATGTACTTTCAGCTTGTGTATAGCTCACCCCCCCCCCCCCACTTCATCGCACAACACTTCTAACTCGAGACTCCTTGTCGAATGTAATACTGTATTACGCTTTAAGTAGGATAATAACAATTCATTACTATTTTATTCTTGAAATGCTATTACTACTCGTCTACTGATTAATGTCATGGACTGGCAATTAACCCCTCGACTCCCAGGAATGAGGGCACCGGACGGCTTATTGTACGTCGTATCTTACGACTTAGTGCTGAAGCTGAATAACTGTATGGGGCAAAGAAAGCCCTAGGGGATGGGGTATAAGTTGTCAACAGGTCCTTCGTGCAATGACGTAGCTTATACAGCTTTGTTTGCATTATTTAGCTATGTATGTCGTAACTTACCACGAGCCAGCACTGACTAGAAAAAGAAAGTCCGATCATTGGCCTGTCATTTGCAAACACGAAACGTAGAATACACATTGATTCAAGGCTCTGTGCATTACTAGCAAAGGACTCATCAAGTTCGCAATCGTCTTTGCTACGCGACTCAGCCTCATCATCGGCTTCGTCACCTCGCAGCTGGATCTCTCGGCGAGAGTCCTACTACCCGTAACCTCTCTCTCCTTGATCGGGGTACCCGCAATCACAACTCCGCTTCACACAAATTTCGGCCGGGTATGCTCATGCCCGGCAATCAAAATCGTTCGTCTCAGATTTCGAAGCACGTCTTCGCCACCCCTTTGTATTCTCGCCGGATCTTGTTGCAGAGCCAACACTTGGCATCATCGATCGAACATCGCTCACAATAGAAGGTTGTCGCGTAAGATTTCTTCTTGCGGTCGATTTTCAACAACGCGCACACCTTGCAGGAGCGCTGGCGACGCTTCTGCACATTGGAGACCATCACCCAGTCCTCACACTGCTCCAAGACATGTGTAAGCCGCGAAGTACGCTTACGTTTCTGCGCTGAAGGTGATGGCGTTGCGACTACACCGGTGAAGTCTTCTGTCTTCAGTTGAAGGAGCTGGTTTTGGAGGACGCCGTACCACTCGCGACGCTTCATAGCTGGTATACCAGCTATCTTCGCAGCCTCGGTGTGGGAGATGTAGGCATTGACTAACGCGAGATCGACGAAGCCTAAGAATAGGCTTTTATAATATTTCTTGAACTTAGTAGATGTTTGAAGCGAGTAGGCTTGGAGGCGGAGCTGATCATGCACATCAACTCCACCCATCCAACCTTGGTAGTCGCTTACGGCGGCTGGGCATGGCACCGTAATTGCCCCAACCTGCTTCACCTTCCGCTCAATCGTTGACGGCGCCATCGTTGCGCTTGTACACAGGTAGTGGACCGGCTTGCGGTCCCACCAGTGGAAAGCAATCATGGATGGTATTGCAACCGAACGTGAAAAGGTAAGCGTGCCGCGTGGAATGTTCGCCGGGCGCGTTGCTCTCTTTACTTGGAGGTTCTTGTCCAGCCCGAGACGGTTGACCATGATAGTACCAATAACGTAAACGTTCATCTTCAGCAGCTCGATTGCAAGGAGAAGAGAAGAGTAGTATCTGTCTACAACAACCGCGCACCACCGTTGTCGCTTGTTTTCTGCAAGTACAATCTTCAGGTTCCTGACCACAGCAGCTGCACCTGTCAAGAGGTCAACTGAAGTGCTGTTGTCAGCGTCTGACGTGCGCTTGCCTGCATACATTTCGAATCTGGTAAGATACGACATAGAAGTCGGTCAGAATGGTTGATGGCGTATCTTACGACATTCAGATGCCTACCTGTGACAATAGGCTGTCCTCGAGTCGCACGTCATAAACATCTTCGACCCGTATCGGTGTGGTTTATCAGGCATAAACATTCTCGTCGTGTTCCGCTTAGACGTGGCTGGTAATACCCCCTCATCAAAAGAAAAAACACCAGGCAGCGACCAGCCCTCCAGGAAACGCTGCTGAAGCTTGGCAATTACCGGTCGCCGTTTCCACAGCTTGTCCCTGTTCCGTTCGCCCTGGTTGTCGACGAAGTGGAGATCTCTCAGGATATCCTGGCAGCGGTTGCGGCTCATGAAGCGTCCGAAGCTGCCAGCAAGAACGGCGCCATCTTCGACCATCGACCAGTGCGCTGCAAAGCTCTTCTGCGGGTAGAGCATGCGCGCAACGAGCAAACCGAGGGCGTGTAGGATCTCGTGAGCCTGGTGCGCTGGCTTAGTTCTCAGGCGGCGCCGTATATTCTTCAGCGTTTCGTGGCGGCGGTCGGGGTGCTTGACTTGTCGAGCATGAATTGCTTCAGCTCGTCTGTCTACTTGCTGAAATGCGTAAATGTTCGTTTCTTGGTCGATATTCGCCCACATGGACTTGAGCATAAAATAGAAGAAGGTAAGAAGTGGCGAGTGTGTGACATTGCGCAGCTCTCTCGTGGGCTGAGCAAGCTCCGCACCAAGTCCTGGATACGCTTCCACATTTGACTCGAAAGAAGACGACACAGACGTCCACTTCATTGCTCGCAAGGCATCCTCGCGCTGGTGCAGACTGCGTCGATCAGGTGCTTCAGTGTCCAACTGAAGTGAAGCGATGAAAGCCTCATCCATCTCCACGGCGTCGCCATCGGAGATGCCATCATCGCTACAGTCGTCGTCTCCACGGTTTGGACCTTCGACGTCTTCTGTGTAGGCAACACCGTCGCTCTCATCCGAGCTGAAGCTTTCGTACGTGCTTGTGTTTTCATTCTCAGGTACGAAGTTGATATCCTTTTCTTCTTTGGTAGCTTGACGCTGGGGCTTCCGTCTTTGTTCATCGGCAATGGACTTGTCCTCTTCTTCGGCACCGCTCTCAGCTCCAGACGCGCCCGACAGCAATTGCAAACGAGCGGCAGCTTCTTCAAGTTGCGAGGCGTTTAGTAATAGGCCTTCAGGTGGCAAATCAAATGCCCGAGTGACTGCCGACTGTGACAGATCTGCCTCCGACTCGCTAGACGTGCCGAACAAATCTCTCATGGTACGTTGCGATATCTCGATACTGGTGTCAATCTGCGAGGCGGTAACGCTTTTATCAGAGGTTCTGTCATCCAGGGTATCCGCATCGTTGTCACTGTCACCTTCGACCAGAAGTCCAGACTCCAGAGCATATTCCACTACGGCGTCTTCTCCAATCAGCACCTTGGTAGCATCCGGACTTGAATAACCCCACTCGGTCTGCAATCCACTGGGCTTCTTCGCTGTCCACCCAGCAGCACGAAGCTGGCGC